TTCCGAGGTAAACACTATGAGTGATGGCTTTCGCGAGGTGATCTGCAAAGCGGGAGCATTCTCGGGCCACTTAGATGCGAAAATATCACGGCTCAAAAATAAAACACGTGTTTATATATATGCAGACACCGGAATTTAAACAGTATGCGTGAGGCATGAGGTGTCCTATAGATATTGCGACAATAATAATATGGATGGTGTTATACAGGACGGAACTAGTATGTGTCTTAATGCAAGAAAATGCTGTAATGATTGTAATGTAAACCTTGGAGTGCTACAGAACCGTTCAGGCTGTTGTTGCAACACACTGTATAGTAGTGAAGAAAAGAGTGAACAAGTGAACTGTCACCGAGAAAATTGATAATCATAAAACGTATTGTCATCTTCATTTATTTGTACTTTGAAAAACGTAACCATGGTGGCCAAAATGTCGGTAAAAAGTAATTCGAACATATGTGATTTCGTTTGGCCAGACATATGCGCGCGCAAGGTGTGCATCAGGGGTGCGTGACCCCCTCACTCTGGGAATCCGGTTGGACGTTAAATTTTGCATATTTAGCATAATTTTGTGTCCAACTTTGAGGATTTTTCGGATTAAAAAATCAATCCTTTCTGGTAGAGGTGGTAAGTAGGAGTCTTGTATCTGTCCTCATGGTGGTTTTGTCACCTTAATTGAGGATGTCGTACGGTTGTTCTTAGCTACTGGTTCATGTATAACATACCGTTTTCCTATATCACGATGGACTTCGCTTTGACCCAAAACATTAAAGGCAGCAAGACCAGGAGTACGTCCAAGGAAGTTAAAAAATAATTGGATTACGTTGAAAAGAGTTTTCTGATCGACCATAGATCCATTTAATTCTCCTAGCTACATAACTATGCTGGGCATATCTGCTTAGATCAAATTTAGTAATGGCTCATTTGTCAATACAATATGCTCATCAATTATAGAACTAATTCGCTTGTTACGGATAGGCAAATTAATCACTTTAACATGGCCAGCAGTCAAATAAACCAGGCAAGTTAGTCGAATTATCGCTGGAAATGTCATAACATTCTTTCAGCAGACTTTTAAGAAAGGCGGCAGTGACAAGCTTTATTATGTGCTATAGGAAATTAATTCATTAAAAATCACGTGCTGGCGTTATTTCTATCGCTTTTGAATTTTGATCTCTTAGATCACAACGATATAAATACCTATAATAATAATATTTCATCACTTCCCACATATAGCCATGGGCTCCCGCAGTATTTTTTCTCAGGGGCGACCATCGACGAGAGATAACTTTTCATCAAAATGTTTCTACCCCAAAAACTTTTTGAAAAGCAAATTTTATCAGATGAGACAAATCCTTAAACCATACGTCTATCTAGGTACTCAATTAAAAAATACATACATTATAGATACTTGAGAATTCTGTTTTCTCATTGAAACTGAAGAGTTTCGTAGTCCAAAATTTTCGCATATCGACAAGTGAACCGATCCGGGATAATGTTTGACGAGGCTGGTATGAACCTCAAAAATGCGAGAATGTAACGAGGCCCTATTTATAGTAATAGAATATCTAATATGGCTTTCTTGATTAACTTGAAAAACAAGTTCCGTCTAAATTGCAGATCCGCTAGAAGCTTTAATTTTTCTTCGATATCACGCCTTTGAACTTACAAGTGTCACAGATAAAATTTTTCATATGTCAAAATTTTAATTAGGCTTGCAAAAATTTCCACAAAGCTGAAAATTGGTACATACTTTAAGTACACCATTACGAACAATATAATATATCAAAACTCCTTATCCTTGTTATATCTAGGTTGAAATGTCATAATTCTCGGAAAGGAAAAGAGAGACCAGAGAGACCACGAAAATACAAAAATCATTTCTAAAGGTTCAATAAGTACTTTTATTTCTTGAGTAACGGTTTTTGAGACTTAGTGATCTGTGGCCTCTGCTGCACTTATGTGTACGCCATCTACCGTTGAATATGAACTTATATGTGGAAACATTAATGTATCAAACTTCTACTAAAATACAACTAATACACAGGAGTCAAGAAAAGTTTTAGTGATTTTTCTATAAAATTATTTCACGAGGAACCGAAAGTTTGTATACACAATAGTTGAATTCGAAACGAGCTGGATTGGTTGAAATCTATGTTAGATACAAACTTACAACTCACCATGTATGTCCAATTTGTTGCCGCAGTTAAGTCGTTGGATAGCTAGTACGTTTTTGTAAATTTATTTTATGTTAATCACTACAAAGGCTTTAAGTTATGGCTTAGTTCATACTTACTCTTAAGCGCTTTTCGTCAAAAAATGAACGATGTGTTCATCCCTTTCCCAGCTGTTCAATAGACTTAAAACTCTTAAGTTTAATGAAAAAATTACCCAGAATTTTTCTAAAGAATATATAAATCTTTCTATACAATTTCTTTTACATTTGGGTAGTTAGCCAGTTTTATGACATTTCTTCATCAGCAATTTCTTGATTTTTCAACGCAGATTCCACTCCACATATTTTCGGATTGCACACTTCGTGTTGCTTGTGCTGTGTTTGGAGTTTTACAAAAGTGACTGGATGACTAGAGTTTGAAAAACGAGTTTTGCCGGATTCTTAATCATTGAATCCTTCAAATAAACTCGTGGTGACGTCCCAAAATATATCAACAAAGTTTAACTTCTTTCTGAATTTTGCCTCCTCTAAGAAATTTTTTGATTGCTTTCAAAATCATCAGAAAAGAAAAAAAAAGATGAAGTCAAGTTTGGGAAAGTTGTGGATATTTTAGTCATAATATTGGTACCATTAGACCGGTATTTCAAAATTTCTTCAAAAGTTGTAGAAAGACCAATAATTAAAAAAAGTTTTTTTTGAAGGTTACTCTATCAAAACAAGAGCGATTACCAAACACTATAAATATTTTTCTGTCTGTAATAAAGGGTCTATTGACTTGAAAAAATGAGCACCATGTTTGAGTTTTGAGGAATATGTACGCCCAAACATCTCAAGTGTTGCTTTCAAGTATTGCTAACAACTAAATTATTACTTAAAAAAGCATCCATATTCTCACGAATTATCAAATTATCGTGGAAGACTTTATAACGGGTGTTCCTTAATGATATAAAAATGATAATATATAAACTATGGTCCAAAAATGTTTCCTTACAAAAACTCGGGGTGTTGAAGATTTAGGACATATAAATTAATTAATATTTTCAGAACCGCTTCAGATATTTCACTGATATTTAGTACGTAGGGAAAGTTAATAAGGTTGCATATTTTTCAATGCACAAATAATTTTTAGCTTTAACAGTGGCGTGCGTACGGGTATTGATGGTTTTTGTCAAATAAAAATTATTTTTGAATTTCCCGTTCAATTTATAACAATTGATCTCTCTTGAATTGTTTTCCTTCGATGCGCCATTTTTGAGTAAAAAAATAAAAACGGTTCTATTGTCCGAGAAAATTAATGTAATAATTGAAGAATGCAATTTAGCAATAAATATCTAGTTGCTCTAGAATATGTCACTGGCTTTTGACATCTGACAAGTTTCTGTTATTCAAATCTGTTCGCTGTGACATTTTTTTCATTGTTTAGTTTTTACAATCTTGTTAATAATGGTGAATTATTCAAATGCAGAAATGGCGGAAATGCATTACGTATATGGCCTTGCCGACGGTAATGGTGAGCAAGCCAGACGGATTTATCACCAGAGATATCCCGATCGTGCTTTGCCACATAGTCAAACCTTTTCTAGTATTCATCGTCGCCTTGTTGAAACCGGTTCTGTCCGAAAAGGAACATCTGAAGGTAGACCTCTAAGTGTGAGAACACCTGAAATTGCAGTGCTGCACGAAGAGTATAGGCATTACTTCCCATTGATTTTCCAAGGCGTGTGACCTTTTGTCAGTGGTATCTTCAAAAAATTACACAAAATCCGCAATTTAAATCAATGATTCTGTTCACGGACGAAGCTAATTTTTCTCGAAATGCCATTCAGAATTTCTACAATTATCATTTGTGGACAGAAGAAAATCCCTATGCCGTAACCGAAACCCATTTTCAACACCAATTTTCGGTTAACATATGGGCAGGAATTATTGGTAACCACTTTATTGACCCATTCTTCCTGCCGGGACGACTTGGCGGACAGACCTACCTCAATTTTCTTCAACAACAGTTGCCTTTTCTTCTTGATGATGTTTCGTTAGTAATAAGAAACAATATGTGGTACATGCATGATGGTGCACCAGCGCATTTCAGTGTAGCGGTTCGTAATTATTTACAAACTGTTTATCCAAATCGTTAGATTGGCCGCGGTGGGCCCCAAGAATGGCCACCAAGGTCCGCAGACATCAACAGTTTAGATTTCTTTTTGTGGGTCTATCTTAAGACACTAGTGTACACAAGTCCCATTAACACTGTAGAGGAATTAAGAGAAAGAGTAGTAGCAGCTATCCAGGGATATTTCAACGAGTGCACAATTCCATGAGAAGGAGGGCGGAAGCATGCATACGAAGTGAAGGGGGTCATTTTAAACAATTTCGTTGATTTTAAAGTTATGTTTATGTTGTCAGTTGTTGTTCATTACCCCTAATGTGTTTAATTTTTCCAATTAAATTAATTTTGCAAGTTAGACAATAGAGCGGTTTTTTTACTCAAAAATGGCGCATCGAAGGAAAACAAATCAAGACAGGTCATTTGTTTTAAATTCAACGGGAAATTCAAAAATATTTTTTAATTGGCAAATTCTTCATGTAGATTCACACCCTTAAATATTCGCATATCATTGAGGAATACCCTGTATAAATGGATAAAATAATGAAATGCAGATAGAAAGAAAAATGTCAAGCTTAGTTAATTAAATATGATTTGTGGAATTTCCACCAAATTTTTTTTGTGGATATGCCCTTGCACACCATGGTCTGCCACACTTCGCTCGAAATAGTAGCGTTGAACCGAAAGAGCAAAATGCTATATTGATGCATGATTTTATTTCAGATAATGGCCCGGCACTAGGATGGCGCGAGTCGTACTCAAAGCCGTACCAATGGTTGAGCTTCAACGAGGCGCTATTGAGGGCCCGCAACTTCGGCAGTGGCCTTGTGGCCAACGGCTTGACCCCAGGCTCAACGACCATGCTGGGCATCTACAGTCAGAACTGCCCAGAATGGATTCTGTCAGAACAGGCGGCCTATTGCTATAGCATGGTATTGGTACCACTCTACGACACCTTGGGACCGGACGCGTGTGCCTTCATCATCAAACAAGGTGAGTTTGTGAAAAAAAACGAACGAAAAAACACTCCAAATAACGTCAAGCTACAGTAGAGCTTAAGATACTAGGTCTGTAAATTCAGTGACGAAACTGGTTTTTTTTATTTTTACTCAAATATAATTAGAATTTTATATTGTCACCCTCAAAATAACTTCCTTCTGAAGCCACACAGCGCTGGAGACGGTTCTACCACTCCGCATAGCAATGCTCTGAGACTCCGATTCTGAAATAGCCTGCAGCTGATCTGTTACAGCCGCTTTAATGTTTTCGACTTCCCTTGAGGTGATTTTCCAACCTCGGAAAGAGAAAAAAGTCACAAGGACCCAGGTCAGGCGAATACGGAGGCTGGGAATCACAGAGATGTTGTTACTGATGAAAAACTCGTTTATTGACATTGCTGCCTGACAAGTAGCATTATCCTGATGTTTCACCCAGTTGCTATTGATCCGCTGAACGGTGGTGTGAGTCAAATTTAACTCTTCCTTGATCATTTTGACTGTCAACCGACGATCTGAACGCACCAGGTCCTGGATTCTGTCAATATTTAATCGGTTCTTGAAGATAAAGGCCTTCCGCTTCGTGGTCCATCTCCAATTGACACTCTCCCTTCTGAAAATGCCTTGAACCACCAAAAAACCTAAGCTCTTCGTAGGCCTGCTGAAGTTGCACTGTTTCACAGAAAAAAAACTCTTCCGACAACCAAATGACTCGAGGGAGCTCAAAATTGTACTTAAGGTGGATCATATGTTCCCGTGTCTTTGTCTCTCGTACACATGACCTCGTCAGTGGTATTTGGATTTTCCTGTATATTGTCTCAATTTTGAGATGTCTCTGACTATATCAACGATACTAACGTTCGATTGCAGTTGAAGTATTTTCCATTACCTGTCTAATATATGGTAAATTAAAACATTTTGAACTGGCGATATATTGTTCTACGTTCCACATATTAAGACAGAAAGTAATATGTCAAATGTAGCCAATCATTGATGATGTAGTTTATAGCTTAAGGCAGTTATATAGAAAGTGCGATCATGGGTTATGTTCCAAAATTTCGCGCCAAAATTAAGACGTAGTAAAATCTAGCATGACGTAATAAACTTTTAAAACGCTGTCCTCCGAATGTGACCTTACTTCTGGAGGTTAAGATTCCTTCAGACTTGAGGCAAATAATCCATCATTATACTCGAGTACCGAAAAGGAAGAGAGCAGCGGAACACATCGTACCCCACTGGCCAGCTCAGTATTTCCTAGAATATGGCGGGATACTCTCGCTACGTCTGCAGTAGCGTGCGATGTGTTCTGGTGCTCTCTTCCTTTTCGGTACTAGTGTATATCTGACGTTGACAGAGACATGAAATTTATGGTTACGTTGCGTCCGTATTCAGAATCAAAAGTAAATCCTGATTCCACCGACAGGAAATACTTATGATTTAAATCTTACTCTCTCTGTGTACGCATTTCAAACTTTTTTTAAACAGATGTAAAATACTCCCGTTTGATCCAAATACTCATATTTTTTTCTTCTCGCGTCACTGGTGAGGAAGTATTGTAAGGACGGAAAATTTATAAAATGAGATATTATATCTTTTGAATGACATGTATATCACGAGAAACCATTCCACTCATTTCCTTTGGTATATCTGTCAGTCTCCGTCGGTTTGTGTGTCTGTCCGCTAATTCTCGGCCATGCTAGAACATTGAAAGTACCTCTCAGATTTTGAAGAAATTTTCATAGATAGATTACAACTGTGCCAAAGATTTAAAAGCTTTGTAGTTTTTGAAAGCCTATCCAGCGGCTGCGGAAATAAGAGCAAAAAGCGAAAAAAATAAAGATTGTTCAAACTTCGTTTTCTGGCGGTTCAAGAGACTCCTGGCTATTTTTAGAAAAAATTCTGTAGGTGTAAGGATATGTCTACTACTGTGCAAGCGACGAAAAAGCTTTGCAGTTTTGTAAATCGGTCCAGTGGCGGCGAAGTTACGGGACAAGAACGTTTCAGAGGCTCTTGATCGTCAGGAAAATATCTGAAAGGGTTAAATCATGATAGTTGAAGGGTATATCTATATTTTTTGGCGTTTGTATATTCATTAGTGTCCGACCAAAACTAGTAATTCAGCGGAAACCGAAATTTCGGACCAATTTTAGTTTCGATCGAAACAAAACTTAGATAAGAAATTGGCACTAGCCTTAATCTCTATAGACTATTCGAAAGCCTTTGACAGCATCAATCATAAATTATTACTTGCTAAATTAAATTACATAGGTCTTGACAGTGTATCCCTTTCATTTTTCGACAGTTACCTTCATCAAAGAACTCAGTGTGTTTTTATCAATCAAGAAATGTCTCAAGTGACAATAATTCCCTCAGGCGTACCTCAGGGCTCTGTATTGGGGCCGCTTCTGTTCCTCATATATACGTTCGACTTAAGCAAAAGTATTGATAATTCTCATGTCCAGACATTTGCAGACGATACGCAATTGCTTCATTATTTTAACCCAGATGTCAATAATACTACTCAAACTTTACAAAACGATGTTAATAAATTAATTAAATACTCTTTAGATCACAATCTACTTATTAATCCACAAAAATCTAAAATGTTATTATTTTGCGCACAAAGAAAAACATACAATGTAACACAGCTCTTGAACATTCAGATAAATAACCAAATCTTGCAATTTTCTGATTCTGCAAAAATTCTTGGTGTTGTTTTTGATACAAAATTAAGGTTTATTGAACATGTTAAAAGTCTATCTCAGAAAACCTACCTACGGCTGCGCACTCTTATCGCAAACAGGTATTTACTAAATTTTAAGTTGCGTAAAAAACTATGTGAAGCATTGGTCATATCTATACTAAATTATTGTAATATCGTATACTATACTTGTTTAGACAATTTCACTAAAAACGTTATTCAAGTTATTCAAAACAATTGTATACGATTCATTTTTGGCTTACGTAAATTTGATCATGTATCAGCGAAATATCCTGTTCTAAACTGGTTAAAAATTAATGACATGGTCAAGTATCACTATTCAGTTTTTGTTCACAAATTGCTGCTCACGTCTAAACCTTATTACTTGAAGGAAAAAATTTCATTTAATAATGATGTTCACTGTAGAACTCTCAGAGAAAATAATATTAGAATACCCCTGCATACGTCTACACTTTTTATACGCAGTTTTTCTTACAATGTTGCTATTATTTATAATGACCTTCCTAAAGTATATAAAGAATTTTCATTACCTGTCTTTCGACAAAAAGTTAAAACATTATTACTCAACCCTCCAAACATATAATTTACGTAATCATTCATTTCTTTTTTATTCCATCTTTAATTCAGATTAATAATTTTGGTGCATTTGGGTTTGGAAAGTATGCCGTTTTCTCTTTTTTTAAATTTTACTTTCGATGTAATGAACCAAATCTGTTTGTGGATAGTGTATTCTTTTGAACATCTGCTAGAGACTTTATGGTTAAGTGTAAGAGTAGCAGCATGCTAAACTTCGCCATGTAAGTCTGACATTTGGCTATACTACAATGTAATTGTGGATAAATAAAGACGTCTATTATTATTATTATTATTATATGAGAGGTTGTGAGGTAAGATAGTAGTGTATATCCAAGAAAAACCAAACTCAGTCTTTATGAACTAATATTAGTAATAATCATATCAGTTTATTAAAGGAAAAAAAAACAAATTCTTTGTAATATGTAACAATCAGTATTTATCAGATATTATTACCACTTAGGTAAAGAAAACGAAAACAATACTACTTTTGTCTCTTAAAACATAAAATGAATAGTCTCTTTCGTTTCCAACATTTTGTGAAAAAAACAGACACTAAAACAAAAATAACAACTTATGTTGCACCAATATTAACTAACGTTGGTTTAGATGGAAGCCAAGTTTAATTTGAAGATTTCCAGTGCGCAAATACTTAAACTCCGTTTAAATTTTTGTGAACTGTTTACCTTAAATGATCAATTCTTGTAGTTTAAAGATCGTCTAACTTATTTTTAGTCTTTGACAATGGACATTATTGGTCATGATGATATTTTAAACGATGATTTGGATAACCTTAGATTAATAAATAATGGTTTTCTATAAGAATCATAGAAATACCCAAAACAAAACCTGTTTCTTAGAGGAAGTTTACATACGAACTAAACAGAAACTTTGAAGTTGGACTGAAACTGGCCGAAACCGAAAGTTCGGTCGGACCATAATATTTATACACTTCCAACTAGGGTAGGTCTTCGCAGATGTTAGACATATTTCACATTTTCCCGTACATTTCTCTTCAAAACGAATCGTAGAGAAATATTTTCAAAACAAGCGTATTTGGGTATCCATCACGCTGTCACCGATAAGTGTCTGCAATTCGTAGTCGACGGTGCCGAGGTTTACGAGTGGCGAGCGGTGAGGTGTGGGCGAGGTTAGTCATAGCAACGTGCCCAGATGGTCGGTAGGGCAGGGAAGAGAGTTGCTATGGACTAGTTTTGTGGGCCTGGTTGACATATTTGATCGGTTTATTTTTTTGTAATGCAGGTTCATAGCTTTTTGTAATTATTCTTTGGGAAAATATTTGAGATTTTTTTTAATTCTTCCAGCTGAAATCACGACAGTTGTTTGTGAAGATGATGCAAAGTGCAACATGCTGTTGGAAAAATCGCCTAGGTGTTTGAAAAAAATGATTGTGATCAAAGACATTCGCCCTGCGACTAAACAGCGAGCGAAGAACCGAGGAGTTGAGGTGATCAAGTTCACAGACGTTGAAGTTATGGGTGCTAAGTCAAATAATCCTGAAGTTGTAAGTATACACCATGTCTGAATGATAGTACATATACAGGGTGACTTCGAAGTTGAGTCATTTATTTTAACAGTGAGTAGATTTGATCAAAAAAAATGTTTTTCTCCTTTAACATTTTTGTGGTAAAATTAAAGTAACAAAGTTATAGCCCTTTAGAAGTTTGAGTACCGCCCTGTCTCAATAATAATATTATGTGCTCGTGTTTGGCAACAACGGATATAATCCGCCTTATCGGTTCATCGCATCGGAAACAAAAAAGCGAAAGAATTTGAAACGCCTTATCACGATGTTTTTACTATAATTGTATTCAGTCAATGTGTCAGTCGGTAACGCGTGAGTGAATAGTGATGTTTGTTGCGTGGCTCAAACGAAATAAAACATGGGACATGTTTACGAAAATGCTGAACTTGTGGACAAGATTCTTATTTACGGGGTGGGTCTTTACAAAATGCTGCCGCGGCATCACGGATTTACAATCATTATCTGAAAATTAATGACTCAACTTCAAAGTCACCCTGTATAGTCGAGGAAACGCCATAGTCATTATACTTGCTTGTTTTATCAATCAACAAAGAATTACCTAATTATTTCATTCTAGCCTCCAAAACCGACAGATTTGGCTACAATCTGCTACACGAGCGGAACTACGGGGAACCCCAAGGGAGTGATGCTGACCCACGAGAATATAGTGGCCTCTATGAGTGCCGTCGTACTGCAGTTCGGTGATCACACCCTTAGAAGTACCGACACGATGATCTCTTTCTTACCTTTGGCGCATATGCTGGAGCGGTGTTGTGAGGTAACTATAGAAAATGTTCATTCTTGATGCTTAGTAGACTAATGGAAATCGCATGAAAAAAAAATCCGAGATTCGAATGAATTTCATTGTTAGCCTTTATGCGATCAACACTGTACTTCCTTTGTGTCAGGAAGTTGTCACATAATGTGGGAAGATTTCTAAAAATTTTTGTTTATCTCTGGTGGGGATGGGGCCGCCAATCATTGACCCTTCTATAACTTAGCAAGTACCGTTCAGATTTTGATGAAATCTTACAAGATTACATCTATGCCAAGGTCGAAATGATGTAGTTTTAGAGAAAACGAAAAAATCATTTTCAAAAAAATTTTGGTAGATGTTAAACATTTTTTTTGACTTAATTATATTTGTACGCTTGCAAACCTGCTAGTTATACGCGTCTATTAGGAATATTTCCCACAACATAGATTTCCCCTATATTTGCCATTATAACTTGGAATGTTGATCCATCCCACGTAAAGCAGCTTACGTTGATATACCTGTATGATCGATGTGTGAATCGGGTCTTTATCGTCGGGTTTGTTCGACTAACTTGATTCATATAGTTTTTTTTGTTACACATGTTCGTGGATGACTTTTTTCTAAAAGGGGCTAACTTGTGCCGCATTTAGTCCTTTTTTCCTGATGATATCGTTGGGTGGGAAGTGCTGAGTCTACCTACTTGACGCCATTTTGTGGTGGCCATTATTTGAAATTAGGGTTCAGAATTATTTCCATTGTACAGAGTTTTCGCTTACTTTTCGGTGCGGTTCCAAGGCATAATTTGATAAAAAACGTTTTGTACGCTCTTGGGTATCAGTAATTTAGACCAAAATTCATATCTTGGGTTATTATGATGCTCTCATCACGAAGATGCAGCTAGTTTCTGGCTGGAATTGACAGGAAGCCCTAAAACGCCATATTACTACGTAGAACTTCGCGGCACTGTAGAATTGTTTGGGAGACATATTCAAAATTATCATTCAAAATTTCCTCAATATACCGTTATACAAGGTGTAAACGTTATGATAGTCATTATTTAAATGGTGACAGAGGGGGTTAAAAGCAGCAAAAAGTTTCAACGGCATTTTTTTAGAGAAAAGCGACTTTAAAGTAAAATAAAATCTGACAACGCCGCAAAATTACGACGGAACGCAGTGCAAATAAAGATGGAGTTTGTTATTTTTGGTTCTTAGGTATTATTTCATTATTTGATAATGTACTCGTGAAATGCAAACAGTTAAAAAAATGGACTTACCACTAACTGTCTCAGCGCTTCACCTGGTGTGTGAAAGTTTATTGAACGTATTAAAAAAATCCACTTATAAATAGGAAACACAATTTTGATACATATATTGTTTTTCTTTTTAAAACCCACACTGCACTTTGTTTGTGCTTCAGTTGTTATTGGACCAGCCCCATAAACCATCCCTTTAAGTTCTCCCCAATACCAGAAATCCATCGGATTGAGGTCAGGAGATCTTGCTGGCCATTTTCGAGGATCATGAGCATTTCGACCGATCCAGCGATTTGGATAATGTTCATTCAAATACTGAATGACGCCTCTAAAAATGTGTGGTGGTGCCCCGTCATGAAGAAACCACAAATTCTGTCTCCCTTGTAATGGCATGTTGTCTAAGGTCTGCTCCAAAAGTTCTGGCAGGTTATTGGCTAGAAAGCTAAGGTATCCTTCTCCTGACAACTTTGGGGGTAACTCGAAAGGGCCAATTACCTGATCGTCAAGAATACCCGCCCAAATATTTATTTTAAAACGTTGTTGGAAATGACCTTCATGAATGGTATGAGGATTTTCTTGGGCCCACGTGTGAGTATTATGAAAATTTAATATCCCGTCGCGCGTAAAAGTGCATTCGTCCGTCGCTAGAATGTTTTTTAAAAAATCCTGATTTTCAATGTTTTTGTGCAAAAACCACTGATCAAATGTTAGTCTGCGAGGACAGTCTTCTGGTAACAAGGCCTGCACTCGTTGTACATGGTAGGGATAAAGCAAATTTTCCCGTAGGATTCTATGGACTATGGTAAGCGATAGTCCTACGCGGCGGTCTAATTCCCGAGTGCTGATATCTGCATTGATTTCCACGATATTTAAAATTTGTTCCTCCTGCTCTACAGTAACCGGTCTTTCGCAAGTGCGAATATTAGTGTACACTTGCACAAATGTCCTTCTGTCTTGGTGTACCCGTTGGCGAAATCTGCCGCGATAAATTTGAACTCTTGATTCAAGAACATTGTAAAGAAACACGACGACGTACGCGAACAAAACAACAGGCCCGATGCCCGATAACTAACCACTATTACCATTTTGCGATCGATTGCCGGTTCGATAAGAGTGATGAAAGGCCGACGCGCTGTTGTCATGTGTGTTTTAAATATTTAATCTAATGAAACTTACTGTCTACAAATTTTGGCTTAACTTAGAAAAACTTAATGCCATTTATTTGTTAATTACCCAATTTAAAAACGTTTTAAATTAGATTATAAAATTTAGCAAGATTGTGGTGATTGTGGTCGATATAAAGCACTCTATTGAGTTTTGGACCATGTGTCATATGAACTTTTTGACTTGTTTTGACTCCCCTATTACCCATTTTAATAATGACGACCATAACGTTTACACCCTGGAGAAAACGAAAACCGAAATTTTACACAGCAAAGCCGCATCGTTATTATGAAAGGTATTACGGGAATGTTTCCTAAATTCCTTGAGCGTCTAGGACCTGGATAAAAACGTGTTATCTGGATAAATGTACTACGTAGATTCCAAATCCCATGTCAGTTTTGTGCTGAAACTGGCGAATGGTTCCAGGCAGCTGGTTTTTTACAACAAATTAGGCGTTACAGCAGTTCTGAATTATTTTATGGTTATGTTCGAAAATTCAAGAGTCCAATTTACTCCACCGCAATCTCGGGTGGCCCATTTTCTGCTCCAAATTTTTAAGCACAACACCACGGAGAACTAAAACAAGTAGTTTGGGTGGCAAAGCCTTATAGTTATACTAAGTGACACATAAATCCGAACACCCAGTTTAAATGGTTTTATTTTAATAAAATTTTGTATAAGTACTCAATGAAGCATAATAAGTAAATGATAAAAATTTCAAAATGATTGCACTGCTTTGAAGCCCTTTGACCTTTAATAATGTGTGGATGCACCCTGATGTGCTACGCATTCTCCAACGCGCCTAGGCATGCTTCTGATCAGGTGGTCAATGTCCTCCTGTGGTATCTCATTCCAGGCAACCACCAACTCCGCTCGAAGTGCTTCTAGAGTCTGAGGAGGACAATGCAAATTGAGCAATCTCCTACCCATCATATCCCACACGTGCTCAATTGGGGATAAGTCGGGAGATCTTGGTGGCCATGGTAACAATGTGACATCATTATGTTGAAAGAAGTCTATTGTGACTCTTGCAACATGTGGTCGGGCATTATCTTGTTGGAAAGTTGGATCTGCCAGGGTGTCAAGATAGGGTAAAAGATGGGGTTCTAGAACTTTGTGGATATAACGCTGCGCGTTCATGTTACCTCTGATGAAGATTAAAGGTGACCTGGAACCATAAGCTATAGCACCCCAAACCATAACTCCAACAGTGTGATGAACATGTCTTTCAACAAAAACTGTGGATTCCTCCTTTCACCACGTCGCCTTCTAACCCTGGCACGACCATCGTGCATGCCTAAACAAAATCGAGACTCGTCACTAAAGACAATACTGTTCCATTCCTGATCCCAGAGTGACCGTTGTCTGCACCACTCAAGGCGATTACGTCGGTGTTCTCGAGTTAAAGGGAGGACCCAGTGTGGCCGGTATGAAAACAAGCCAAAACTTCTCATTCGTCGGTAAACACTTCGCATGCCAATAGGTCTTCCGTGTTCTGCAAACCATTCATTTGCAATGGACCTGGTAGTGGAGAAACGGTCCCTTAAGGCCAATAATCTTAGGCGGCGATCTTCACGGTCTATTGTTCTACGGCGGCGTCCAGTGCCCCTTGCTCTTTGCGTACGGCCTTCTCGAAGCCATGCCTGACAACACCTAACCACAGTGTCTACACTTCTTTGCACTCTAACTGCAATTGCCCGAAAAGAAAGTCCAGCTTCCCGAAGTCCCACTATACGGCAAAAAATTGATTACACACTATTTTGTTCCAGAATGCGATGTATATGGTTGGAGGTGCTGTGGGCTTCTACCTAGGAGACATAAGGAGGCTTTCAGATGACATGAAAGCTTTGAAACCCACTATAACTCCTGCAGTTCCAAGACTGCTAAACAGAATCTACGACAAAGTCCAATCTGACATTGGCAATAGCTGCGTTAAGAAGATGTTATTCAATATGGCTTTTAGTGCTAAGGAAAAGGAACTGAAAAGGTAATAACTATGACTGACAAGCGCAATAGTCGGTAAAACTTCTCTACAACCGCCAACCGCCAACAACCACACATAACATGCCTAATGGCAACAAAATTAGACTGCGTTCATTTTATATCCTAAACACCTGAGTACGACAGAAACAGTGGATTCATTAGGTTTCTTACTAAATATTTGAAAACTACCTTCCAATTTTGGCGTAATGTCTTTATGTTGCTTAAGTTTAATACAGGTAGTCCTTTCTATAATTGTTTTCCCTCACGTAATATGGGTGGAAATCAAGCATTTATCAACTTCCGAATAAAAGATTTCAAAATCTCGAAATAATATTTAAATGCATATCAAGTTTCATATGATCAGTTTTTTAAATAATTTCATAATTTGCTTCTGACAAAAATTGACATCATTCAAGTCGTCATAGGAACCCATATAAATGTAATGTTATCTCAGGAACTAGATGGTTGATTTTGTTCAAACAGAATAATACATTGACCTTATACATAAATTGTGACTATACGTAGGTACCTTAAGTGCGAAAAGTGCAGAAGCACGTTTTTATCCTCCGATTTCATACATGTGCTATTTCTCACGCATTTTTTTTTCAGGGGTATTGTAAGAAAAAATAGTTTTTGGGACATGCTTGTGTTCAGGAAAGTACAAGAAGGCATGGGTGGAAATCTTAGGTTAATGTTGGTAGGATCCGCACCTTTAGCAGAAAATGTGCTGACCTTCATAAGATGTGCCTTAGGATGTGTGGTAAGTGGTATCAAACATCAAAAAACTATGTGTATTCCATCTTTGAATTTACAATCTAAGAAAATATCTTGTGTCAATCTACTCCATCCATAATTTCGCATACCCTCCTTAGGCAAAATGATTAATTGTCAAACAAATTTAAACAGTATTTGCACAAAATTTTCATTTGCTAATTTTACTTCCCATGCTAATTGGCGAGGAAGTATTGCAATGGCATAGAATTTCGGAAATGAGGTATTGTGTTCTTCTGGATGTCTTGAATATTATAACAATAGGTGCATATCACGTGAAGCAAACGGCGAAAAAAAGTGAACTTTCTAAATTCGTTCATATTGGGCCTGTTTGAAAATCTAGGTGTGAAAGTGAAAACACGATTTTATTTTCGTGGCACGTTCAGTTGCTAAGTTACGGGCTTCGAAAGAGAAGCTGTATTTAAAATTGGGATTTCTTCGATGAATTTTCTTTCGATTTAAAAGTAGTATAGTAGGTTATGAAACATAGCGTTTTGTATAGGAAATTTGAAATTAAAGAGAACTTAAGATGCTAAATCGGAAGTGAACATTTCAGACCATAATTTGGGCAACTTTTCATTTTTTACTTTCGATTTTTTTACTCCAAAATGCAGTCTGAAGTGTGTTCAAAATTAACCAGAAGTTTTGAAATAGTATGCGGATTAATTGAGGATGTATGTATTTTTATAAAGAGGTTACACTATGAATAGTTTATTTTTATACGATATTCTTAAATATCGAAATTTGAAGCCATAATTTGGGTAATTTCTGCCATTTCTATCCTCAAAATTTCTTACTCCAAAATGTAACCTAAAGTGTGTTTGAAATACACTAGAAGTTTTATGGGATGCCCATTTTCCTTGAATTTCATTTTTTTTATTTATCAGAAGCCTATATAAAACACTATATTTCATATCTCACTTATAATAATTCGAAAAAAACTTACGAAGAAATCCCAATTCTGAATACTCTTTAACTTATCAAATGTACGTGCCATGGAAAAAAATCGTGTTTTCTCTTAACACCTACTACTCGTAGATGTTCAAACAGAATGAATTTGAAAACATTTTTTTTTTGCTGTCAGCTTCACGTGAAATCCCCAATTAGCTACTATTTACATACGAGTTCTCAATTTTGTGTATAAAAGCAAATCAACATTTTCCAAACAAAAAGATGACCATGATTACCTCACTAGAGCTGAAGATTTGTTAATAATCCCTAACCAAGTACTTGCCAAAAATATTATAGTTACATAGGAGGTAAAGTCTTCAATAAACTTGATGTTCATATCAAGGATTCTCCAACATTAGTTGTTCTTAAACTAAAACTCAACGCATTTTAGTGCCTGCTACTTACCAGGGAAATAAATTGGTTATTTTTTTTTTCATGAACATCATGAAAAACCATGTCACTCATTTCCGTCGGTTTGTTTGTCTAGCGGTCTGTCTGTCCGCTAATCCTGCCCCCGCTGCAACTCTGTGTTTGATGACATTTTGACACAAGGTACCTACTATGCCAAGGATGGAAAATCTTTGTTGTTTTTGAAAATCGACTGAGTGGAGCTGGAGCTATGGGTAAAAACCGAAAGAAAATAGAAATAGCTCAAACTTCTTCTTTTGAGGAATTGAAAAGAAGGAGTGGTGTATGTATGTATATGTTAATTGTTGGCGTTACTATCTTCAAACGCTTCTAGCTCCGGTAATTCTTCGTATTTCCTAGGCATATCCCACACCGACGGTTGCGACTACCGTTGGCGAGGTTCTGGTCATCGCAACTAAGATTAGATTTCAAGGTTGTCAAGTGGGTGGGGACAAGAGACCAATTGTGTGCAGAGAGTGCAGAGCCAACATACTTGACGCTATTTTACCCTTAAGAGGGTCGCGTTCAGTGTTACCAATGCGTTAAAAACTAGTCTAGGACAAAATGATAGCCCACCTAAATTTTCTCCAACATGAAAGCACAAACAGAACTGGATTAGCCTGGTTTACTTACGAAGATATGTATGTCTTTATTTGTGAACAAATAACCCATCTTGCTATCTTTTTATCATAACACAATTCAAGTATTATTTGTTCATTCTTCCAAATTTTTTTAAGAACTTATGAAGAAAATACGTTCTAGTTTTAGACGAATAAAACACACATTAGATAAGAACAAGTTTTATTAAAAAAAATTTCATGGCCTTATAACTGATGGCGCAGAAGTGCTTGTATACGTGGAAAATGGGGAAAACGATGTTTTCATCAGGAAACATAGTATTCTATGACTCCATTTCTTTAATTTTTCAAATGAATTTTTATTATCTTCCAGGTGGTGGAAGGATATGGCCAGACTGAATGTACCGCTCCAATATCTCTGACCATACAAGCAGATCACACGCCGGGCCATGTTGGCCCCCCAGTGGCCTGTTGTTGTATCAAACTAGCAGACGTACCTGAAATGGAATATTGGTCCAAGAATGGCCAAGGAGAGGTGTGCGTGAAGGGTACGAATGTGTTCCAAGGTTACTACAAAGACCCCCAGAAGACCGAGGAGGTGATAGATGAGATGGGATGGCACCATACGGGTGATGTGGGCACGTGGCTACCTGTAAGTACCAACGTAAAAGCTGTACCCCAATAAATACGTCGGGATTGGAAAGCGCAACTTTTCTTTTCGTGAAATTTACGATGGTGAAATCGTAAATGCTCAAGGCGAACGTACCACAAATAGATATGGACTTTTCGGGGTCCCAATTGGATAACAGGTATAACAATAATAATAATAATAATAATAATAATAATATGTCTTTATTTTTTAGATAAATTGTAACAAACAAAAAAAAAACTCATTTGATGAGGGAGGCGGCATTCAACATAGTTGCTCTTCCATGCAACCCCCGTAAATAATACAATACTAACAATTAGATGATAATGAGCGAATAATGATGGGTGTAATTAATACAACAAAAATAAAACTAACTATTGTGCTCTTTTCACATGGGATTTGACTCTATTTCGGAAGCTGCTAAGTGAGATCGAATCTTTTACTGCATCTGGCAATGAGTTATACATGGTAGATGCAACATAAGTAAATGAGTTTTTAAACTGTTCAGTACTATGTAACGGAACATCATAGAGATTACAAGAACGAGTTTCCCTATCATGAAGATCCGATCTCTTAACAAGTTTGGTATATAGGTAAAGTGGCAGCTGGGTTTTGTTAATATTGTAAGTTAAGCAAGCAAGATGTATCAAAAAGCGCTCATGCATGTTGAACCAGCCAGAGGCTCGAAATTCGTCACTGAAGTGGTCATATTTTTTCAAACCGTACGAAAATTTGATGCATGAGTTCTGAATTTTTTGAATAGAACGTTTGTCTCTAGTAGTGAGAGCAGGCCAGTATACAATATCAGCATATGACAAGGAAGACAATATCAACGAATCGCATAGATTCAGCCTGACTTCAGTAGAGAGAGCATTCTTGTGAAGATAAAAAGTCCTTAATTTAGCATAAGCTTTTTGTAAGAGATGCTTAACGTGGGGAACAAATTTAAGAGTATTATCCATATATAATCCCAGATTTTTACATTGGTTGCTTGCTTGCAATACAGTGTTATTAATGCAGATTCTAAAATTCTGATTGTCAGTAACCTCACACGGTCTTGATCCAAAAATAAGCAATTCAGTTTTATTTTCATTTAATACGAGGCTGTGGGCTCTTACATATCTAGATAAGTACTCAAGATAAGATAATATGTTCTTTCAATAAGATAGAGCCAAGTGCCTCATGGCAAAGGAAACATATTCTTGATGCCGAGCGATTCCTCGCAATTATGTCCACCGGTTTGCGAGATCATGCAAACTGATCCCCCTTGACATTTTTTGCGAGTAGTTTTTAAAGAGAAAGGATATTTAAACGGTCCATATACGATTAATGAAATTGAGCAGCAATTGTGCTGAAGACTTGAAAATTTTATCTGTAGAAATAGGGAGGCATTCAGAGAAAATTATTTAAAATTTAAGTCCCATACTTGTACATTACAATAATATATTCTGCTTGATAATTTTCCAAAATTGTCGGTTTTACTTAAAAACAAAAACACGATGTACCTATTGGGATATTATCTTCAATCTATTAGACAATTTTTGTTTAACGTCACTTTGATCAATCTCCATATTGTCTTGACCAACATATGAAACCACAATGGAGTTTCGAGTATAAAGTGAAAAATTTGAAATATAATTTTAAAACTTGATTTTCAATTTTTTATACATAAATCAATCTTTTCTTTTTCAGAATGGCACCTTGAAAATTATAGACCGAAGAAAGCACATTTTCAAATTATCTCAAGGAGAGTACATAGTACCAGAGAAGATAGAAAACCTCTACATCCGTTCACAATATGTTAGCCAAGTTTTCGTTCACGGTGAATCTCTAAAGGTAGGACTCAAATTTGTGCTAAATTTTTAAACTATCGTAGCGGTTGTGCTGGATAAACCGGGTGTTACAGATTCGACCTTTACCATTGGGTTCTCGGAAACTGCAAGAGATACCAAGTCGGGGGGTAAAGTTGTGTATTTATGTAATTAACAAAATGCCGCTTAGAAAGTTCGGAGAGAGACGAAAAAACCGAATTTTATGAAAATCGTTTAAATTTTTTCCTGATTTTATTTGTAGTGGGATTCAAAAATAAATCGCACACTAACATCTTCTCTTCTCCTCCTACAAGACGGAATAATTAGAATTTCAGTATGACATTTCGTCTCTTGTCCTCCAGCCTTAAATTTTTTTTTCTATTTTTATTGTACTTACTTCTTTGTTTATTATTATTGTTTCTGTTGTTTTCTCGACTAAACTGTGTTTCTTTCCATTTTTAACCGACAAATTTATGTATTTATACTTAACTATATTTTTAATTTTTGTAGATAATAATGTTCTCATAGTGATATGCCTGACGAGTCTTATATCATTTCTATGATCCGAAGACAATAAAGAATCTATCTATCTATCTATCTATCTATCTATCTAAATTTATTTTTTATTATGAACGCCACATTGAATTTTTGCATAGATGAATACAGTTTTGATTCTGATTCCAAAAATATATAATATGTGTACGAAAAAATCTGAATTTCCTAGGCCTGATCTGGAATACGAAACAAAAAAATATCTGATAATTTCAAGGTCTATCTATAAACTTTTGTTTTACTGGAATAACTAAGGTCTGTAATACATACTATATACTAAGTGACATATAAATCCGAACACCCAGTTTAAATGGTTTTAATTTAATAAAATTTTGTATAAGTACTTAATGAAGCATAATAAGTAAATGATAAAAATTTCAAAATGATTGTACTGCTTTAAAGCCCTTTGACCTTTAATAATGTGTGGATGCACCCTGATGTGCTACGCATTCTCCAACGAGCCTAGGCATGCTTCTGATCAGGTGGTCAATGTCTTCCTGTGGTATCTCATTCCAGGCAACCACCAACTCCTCTCGAAGTGCTTCTAGAGTCTGAGGAGGACGTTGCAAATTGAGCAATCTCCCACACGTGCTCAATTGGGGATAAGTCGGGAGATCTTGGTGGCCATGGTAACAATGTGACATCATTATGTTGAAAGAAGTCTATTGTGACTCTTGCAACATGTGGTCGGGCATTATCTTGTTGGAAAGTTGGATCTGCCAGGGTGTCAAGATAGGTTTAAAGATGGGGTTCTAGAACTTCGTGGATATAACGCTGCGCGTTCATGTTACCTCTGATGAAGATTAAAGGTGACCTGGAACCATAAGCTATAGCACCCCAAACCATAACTCCAACAGTGTGATGAACATGTCTTTCAACAAAAAACTGTGGATTCCTCCTTTCACCACGTCGCCTTCTAACCCTGGCACGACCATCGTGCATGCCTAAACAAAATCGAGACTCGTCACTAAAGACAATACTGTTCCATTCCTGATCCCAGAGTGACCGTTGTCTGCACCACTCAAGGCGATTACGTCGGTGTTCTTGAGTTAAAGGGAGGACCCAGTGTGGCCGGTATGAAAACAAGCCAAAACTTCTCATTCGTCGGTAAACACTTCGCATACCAATAGGTCTTCCGTGTTCTGCAAACCATTCATTTGCAATGGACCTGGTAGTGGAGAAACGGTCCCTTAAGGCCAATAATCTTAGGCGGCGATCTTCACGGTCTGTTGTTCTACGGCGGCGTCCAGTGCCCCTTGCTCTTTGCGTACGGCCTTCTCGAAGCCATGCCTGACAACACCTAACCACAGTGTCTACACTTCTTTGCACTCTAAGTGCAATTGCCCGAAAAGAAAGTCCAGCTTCCCGAAGTCCCACTATACTATCAAACTCACTAAGTTGACGAAATCGTACAGGTCTCCGTACTCTAGGCATCGTAACCGATCGTAAAGGATGTCAAGAACCAAAATCCGCCAACGTTGATTCTTTACTGCGGCTGAAATATTCATTTTTAGAGCGTTAGTGAATTAAAAAAAGCAGTATAAAAACCGGAATGTCCAACTGATAAGGCTGAAAATTTTTTCACTTGTTATTTACAGTAAGATAAATACATTCGCCAACTTTTATTAAAATAAAACCATTTAAACTGGGTGTTCGGATTTATATGTTACTTAGTTTATTTTTGAAATCAGAATTAAAAAATCTGTACCTCTGTTTATGAGATAAAATAAAGTTGATGCTGGAGGACAAGAAACGAAACGTCATATTGAAATTCTAATTATGCAATCTTGCCGAGGTGAAAAAGGGGCAATGTACACGTGCAATTTATTTTAAAATCCTACTAAAAATAAAGTCGGGAAAAATTAAAACGATTTTGTATAAATTCTGTTTTTTCTGTCCCTCTCCGGAACTTCGAAACTGTCTAAGCTCAATTTTGTTAGTTACCTAGATATGCAACTTTGCCCTCATTTAAGCCACGTCGTTTCTCTTAACGATCCCAATGGTGAGAGTTGAATTTGAAATACCCGGTATACAACCAAAGTAGACAGCTCGACAGGGTAAGAATTTGAAACAAAAGCCTGGCAGGTCCGATTCGCAGGTCTAGAACAAGACAGCACCATAAACGGATACACATATTTAGAAAATAAGTAAAAAAGTAAAAAATATACTGTTCGACGGTTACTCCACCAAATATTCATTGTAAATTGTAATTTTTTTGTAGTCGTGCATCGTAGCGATAGTAGTTCCTGACGTAGATGTGATAAAATGCTGGGCTCAAGAGAATGGTATTCCAGGAACGTTTAGCGTCCTTTGCAACAATTCAGAAGTCAAGCAACTGATTTTGGACGACATGATTGCTTGGGGGAAGGAAGCCGGACTCAAATCATTCGAACAGGTAAGATTCACAAATTTAAAATACCAAAGATACGATCGCCTCTGGAGTACGAAGTTCAAATTTAAGTTATCTATGGCGGATTTTACGAATAGACAAAATGTCTTTTTTGTACCTGAAATAGATTCATTTTTCAAGGATAATTCATTATCCTGGTTCTTTCGCTCATTAGTTGAAAAGAAACGCTACTGCTTTGATGCGAAATTTCACTGGGGCTTCTGGGAACACTTATGCAATGCTGATCTAAGTGATGATTTATTTGGAAGTACTTTTTTTAGACAAAAAATGCTGTTCAGAATAGGGCTGTTGGAATTATCGATGTCTCTTCGCTAACGGACAGTCTTGTTTGGCCTCCTATCCTAACCATGTCGAACTTCGTACATCCAGAACTGGCTGATACCACCGCTCCTTTGTCCCTAGGGTATTGGGATTGTGGAACAATTTGCTTATTTTGGCTTCTACCTACGCACATTCTTCGGTATAAAAAAGTTACCAGCCACAGCTGACTGATTTCACTTTTTTGGGCTTTTGAATAAAATAACATCTGGATGAATTATTCATTAATAATCTCCTTTTTAATTTCTTCCAGGTAAAAGACATTTACCTGCACCCAGACAATTTTAGCATACAAAATGGTCTATTGACACCGACAATGAAGTCAAAACGACCTGAGTTACGAGCCTACTTTAAGCCACAACTTGACGACATGTACACCAGGCTGACATAGGGATCACAGCCACTCCAAAACTTTTTTCCGCTATAACAGGACATTTAGGCTGTCCCACTTATGCACCACTTCTCGTTTTGATAAAAAATGCAAATAGAATTCTACGTGGCAGGTTACGAATTTTGAGCTCCACTATACGATGACTTTTTTGAGCATGCTAGGTCAGACTCCAGCATAGTTCTTCGATGCGTACAGCCAAAATCTGGTTCCTAAGTCATCGAGAATTTGATAGAAAATCGGTTGCACCACTTTTTGAAAAACTCCTCGTTTATCCACTACATGTTCTTGAAGATAGACAAAACAACAGAAGCGCAAAAGAAATCTAAGAATTTTGTAAATATAAAAAAATGTTCGTTCTTGTATATTGAGTAAATCTAGAGCATTTTGGAAATATAGAAATTGTTTAACGAAATGAATTCATAACCTGTCGTAAGAAATCAATATAAGAAGAGTTATCCAAAGATTTCTTCGATAACTCTAGAGCAATACCTAATTTTATCAATATATTAAGATATGACGATACAACATAATTGTTCTTCAGAACATTGATTCTTTGTTTTTTCGTTATTTTGGTGAGAAAAAAAATTATTTATAAAATTGTTCTTGTGTGAAACACCGTCAATTTTCGAGGCTCTATTTTTCATCTGATTTTTGTGTTTCCTTTTTTTCATATATAGAATGTTGACGTTGTCAATGGTAGAGTGTTAATATAAATACATGTAAAAAAGGCAGAAGCGTCAATACTTATGTAGTGTGTGTAATGTCAAACGTTTTCACATACGCACGCTATCTATTATATATCCAAGAAGATACCGCAAAAATCGCATGAGAAAATGTCACGATTTTCAAATAGGAATTTCAAATATCCTTTCCAAATACTCGCTTTTTTGTTTCCAGTAAGTAATATATCTTCGAAAAAAGAATGCTTGTAGATCACATATGGATTTGGACTTGTTGAAAAATGTCCTTTTAGAATTTTCCAATATTTTTAAACAAATTAATGAGATGTAGATAATGTCTAGAACTTTGTAAATATAGTGCCATTTTTTAAAATCTCAAAAGTTAGACTGGACACTCCAGGCGCCGCGTCACGCGATAATGTACTTTCCGAAGTTGAGATGTTTTTTTTTTGTAAATGCAACTTTTTTATATACTGTCTTTATTTTTAATTTTGTTTCCACTTAAATTTAGGACTAGCCACCTTAAAATAATCCACATGCAGTTTACCTTACCGTTGATTCTGAGTAGATACGTAACGAACGCGAGAGCGGCAACACTGTCCAGCGACATTGCCAAGTTGCATGTTTTTCATAAATCTAGAGGGATTTTACGTGGACAATGTAGAACATTTGAATTCCAGTGTTACCTTTAGCTGTTCAGAATTGATGGCAACAACTTGCGTGGTTTTTATCGTACGCAAATTACTGTACAATTTGAATTTTCCTGCGATGTTGAAGATAGGCTATTACATTAATTTCGTTATTAGGACGTTTCACTATTGAATCGGGTAGCATCTTTGTTGATACTACGAATGCGTATTTTTCAGTCAAGTTTAGGTTTGTGCAGAAAAGGTTCACCACTAAACTTTTATTAGTATATTATTTACTAAGTAATACTTTGAAACACAGAATTGATACTGTGATCTTATAACAAATAACAGAGGTGGAAAGGTTATCGACAATACTTCTCATTTTTCTTTAGTTTGTCTTGAAATTATTCTGATATTGTATTTCTCAAGATTATATACATTTATTGGAATTACAAAAAATATTTGTTGCGTAAATGTGCAACTTTGAAAAAATTTAACTGGCTACGTGTATTAGTAAAATTATAAAATTAGAAGTACAAACACACCGCCTTTGTTAGCAATAAGACTTCAAATACATTTTAAGTACACACGTTCAGCTTTTCTGCATGACATTGAAATGAATTATGAAATCAAACTCTTGCCTTAGTTTTATGTACTGAGTTATGTAGGTATTTTATTTTTTCTCCAATCGTTCATTTGTGTAATTTGTTATATATACGTATATTTATTATATTGTACTTAGTTGAAGTTGTAAGACTTACCGACAGTTTAATAAATATTGAAAGAGATTTAATTAGTCTTATTCTTTACTTCACCGACGTTTTTCAGGTTTATTCCTGATCTGGGGTCCTATGGGGTCAGACCCTTGAGGATCCTCGAACTTTTGTAGTTTAAAATTACCATTTTCGCCAATGGTAGTTACAATTTAAGGAAACAACTTTGTATACCAATGACATTCGGGACAATGGATCGAAAAATGACCAAAAAAAGATCGTAAAGTGTCGGGGGGCCAAAATTGAGGTAAAAGTATCATTTGCGATTGTCGGGGTGTCTATTTTCGTCGGTCGTTGTTACAAGTTGATAAAACCTTGTACTTCTATTTTTATTTTTGACGGTCAATAAATCGTAAAGTAATAATCGGAGTTTTGATATTTCCAAGACCATATAGGGAGAATACGCTTTTAACCCAGATATGCCCAAAGTTATCATAACTCTGACTTCTTCATAGTTTTGCATTTAAGGGGCAGTAATAGTAGGTATACAAGAACCCAACTGAAACTTCTGAAACTAATTTTTTTGTCAAAAAAGTTGTTTTAGAAGGCACAATGGGCACATACTATGCTGCATTAAAATCATTTGGGATTAGTATGATACATCAAAAACACATGACATGCAACCCTTTGTCACATTTTTGACAGCGAGTCGTGTTTTCTGATGACAAGCTGCACATCTTGTTTGCTTTTCTTGTGGTAGTCCCAGTGGTCCAGACAGTCATATCATAACTTCAAATTTTGGAATTGAGATGTGTGTCTCATCTGATACACACATTCTTTTTTATTTTTAACCATCATTGTTCCTATCCATTTTTTATGAATTTGCCAGACATTCTGCACTGCCATATCTATGCAGTGAGTTAAAAGAGGAAAATACCACTTTTTTCCTATTATGGCGGTACGGTAGGGGTTTATATTTTGGTCAGAACGGTCAACCCCTCCCATGTTCCTATTATATAGGGTGTTTCAGTTTATTGTTGCATAACTTTATGATTCGATATAACTTTTAAAATTAATGCATAAAGTCTATATAAACATGGGTCGAAAAATGCGTGGCTTCCGAAATACAGCGTGTTTAAATTTACTTTCTAAAATAGTTTTTTTTTAAATATTTCGAACAATATTTGATGTATAACAGTGAAAATTGGTATACAAGGGTTTTTTGGTACGACAAAACGAACTATGTTCATAGTTTTACTGTAGCCGCTAGAGGGCGCTCTCTACTGTACCTGTAGTGTATTAAAATGACCGAAAAATTTTTCTTAGTGCAATTTTTTGCTTTTTGAATAGAAAAACTGATTCTTCGCACTTTTCAACATAAAAAAGCTCTCTTGTGAATTTTCGTTATAGTTAGCCGTTTTTGAGATATTTCGATTTTTAAGGTTCGGTGCATTTTTAATTATTTGTGGGAAAATAATATTTTTTTTACATTTTCGATTTGTGCATTACAAGTAATTAAGATGATCGTTTAGATTGTGTTTTTAAACACAGCAATAATTCCTAACTCCAAATAAACACAAAAAAACAGAATATTAATTTGTTTAATTTTCCAATATCATTAACAAATTAAATTAATTATTTACAACTAAAATGCTATTGGATAGTTAGGACAAACATACAAAATCTAAAGTAGTTGCTCGAAATGTAAACCCAATTGTTCAATACACAATTCACATCTACGAATGATCGAACGTGGTATGGCATTATTCAAAGAAAGCCTTATTTCATCACATGCATTCCTGACTCTGTCTATTAGCATATCTCTTGTGGTTACGGGAGTCTGGTACACTTTTTCTTTTAGCAATCCCCACACAAAGAAATCTAATGGATTTAGGTCAGGGGATCGTGGAGGCCAGGCGACTGGTCTTCCACGGCCGATCCATCTTTCTCGATAATTTTCGTCCAGCCAGTTTCTAACTATTCTCGAATAATGAGCTGGACAACCATCAAGCTGGAACCAGATCAATCTTCTTAAATCTAACATACCATCATCCCACATATTTGCATGTTCAGCCTTTAAAAATTCCAAGAAGGTCGCAGCATTTAACCTTGCAGGCAAAAGGAAGGGTCCAAATAGTCGATTACGGTAGATACCAATCCACACGTTCACACTAAATTCATGCTGAAAATTTCTTTCCCGAACTGCATGCGGATTTTCATGCGACCAAATATGTTGATTATGAAAATTTACCACTCCACGTCTAGTGAAGCATGACTCATCGGTCCATAAAACGTTACCTAAAAACTCCATATTATTATCAGTTCTATCAAGAATCCACTGACAAAATGTGATTATTCGTTCTCCGTCCCCTGGCTGTAGTCCTTGCACAGGTTGCAAATGGTAAGGACGTCTATGGTCATTTCTAAGAACACGGTGAACATGGCTTGCTGAAATTCCCAAGGCACCAGAAACTCTCCTAACATTTGTGGTCGGATCTCTATCAAACTCACGCAGAATCATACGAGTAAATCTGCGCTGACGAACATCTATGTTTTGATCCCTTTGGAGATTTTCAAAACCATTTTCAATTATTTGGCGATGCACTCTTACAAATACTGAGCGAGTTGGATGTCGTCTGTTTGGAAATCTTCGTGCGTATTCTCTGGCTGCTTCTGCTGCGTTTCCATTTACAAAGCAATACACACAATGAATATCCGCTAACTCTTGATTGGAGAATAAAAATGGCATTTTTATAAAACTTATAAAAAAAACAGGTAAAAGAAACTAAATTTCGTGCATTCACAATTGCAAAAAAACGTTTCAGGTTTCAACAGACAACAAAACTAACTGTCAACTAATTGACGTTTAACCTTATTCTGCTTTCAATTTCAAAAATATTTGCAGGCACAGCCTACTTCTAAAAATTATCGAGATACTGACTTTTTAACGTTATTTTATCATAAATAATTAAAAATGCATCGAACCTTAAAAATCGAAATATCTCAAAAACGGCTAACTATAACGAAAATTCACAAGAGAGCTTTTTTATGTTGAAAAGTGCGAAGAATCAGTTTTTTTATTCAAAAAGCAAAAAACTGCACTAAGAAAAATTTTTCGGTCCTTACCTTACCGCTGTCATCCAAATTCGTTTTTTCTACGGCCGCCTGTATGTCTGTCTCGGTGTAGCATTGACCACTATTACCGTCGCGCTCGGCCAGTGATGGCGTCACATCCGTTAAATGTTCTGGGTCGGTATCTTCCCAGAAATCATATTTTTCGCAGAGATGTATCGAAATTTTCTGCCGCTCTGCTTGGAATGTCAGCTCGACGCTCAAACTTAACCCATTTACAAATTAATTCAATTTCGAAAACCGATAATCGAGACGAGCTTGGCACTTGTATAGCCAGTTAGATCCAAATACAATGCTTCAATTTAGCCCTTGAACTACTAGAAAATTCACATCCATACGTACTCCTTCTCCTTCGATCGGAATCAACATTTTGATTTGATTCTTTGGGTTTTATCCCCACTGCGACCGATACTTCTTTCTGTGTCACGGGCAAAACTGCTCTGACATCGCGCATACATCTTAACCACTGTCTATCAACACCCCAAAAGTTTTGCCAAAAACATCTATAGAAATAGTTGGAGTAACCTTCTCCTCATCTATAAGCTCCTCCTCGGGATCACTTAACAGATCTTCTTCCGGATCCCCCATACAAACTAACGTGCGTACAATACGACCTTGATTATTGTCCCTAACAATTGGTGGTCTCTCACGATTGGAATTGGATCTATTATAATCCACGCGCCTATTCATTCCTTCAACCTGCTCGTTGCTCACTATTCTATACGTACCCCCCCTGTACTAAGTAAGACTCATCGATACGACGCAAATACACCTCCACGGCATCCAATGAAGTGAAATTATTGATCACTGTACCCCGCTGAACTTCCGCATTAAAATGTTTGGCCAGCATGCCTATCAAATTCACTACAGGAATCTTATTGTCGAGAAAATTTGCCTGAGACATCAAGTATAGGAAATAATCCGCTCTACTACCGCCTGGATGTATTCCATAAGCCAAAGTCATGAAAAGCTCCCTTTGCTTTTCAACCACCCAAAATCTCTCTTTAAAGGCTTGCTGAAATGTGGCAAAATCAAACAACGGATACTCCTTCATACTTGCCCATTCGGATGCCGTATCCCTAAGATAACCCGGTGCGAGGCCCAATTGTGCATGCTCTGGTATCCCTGCGTCACTGAATATTTTCTCGATTTTTCTTCAAAAATAGCATCGGGTGTATCTGCCTGTAAGCTGAGTAAGTAATGCTACCACCCCAAAATTCCTTCCAATGAGCAATATATAGGCCCGATCATTAATTCGGTAAAGCCCCTGATCTACAACCCTTTTGAAACTGAGACAGTCTCCGCCTCTGTCACAATCTCTTCTGACATAGCAACCTTCTCCACCAACTGTCCAACTGTATTTCTGAATTTAGTGACAGACCCCGCCAAATTCCGTACCAGCGCTTCTAAATCGACAGGCGCACCACAACTCTCTCCTCTCTGTTCTTCCTCTTACTCTTACCTTTTCCTGGCATATTTTTCACTTATAATGCAATATGTCCTAACAATAGTAAGATAACCTGACAAACCTACTACTAACTGCAATACAATAATATTCAAAATACTGCTCTCTGATCTCACGGCTCCTATCCTCGTACCACCTCGTCTGTACTCCAAATGTCCAAATCGCCTCAACAGCTCAACAAGTCCTATACTACAACTATTTAAAACTGTAATGACTCATACGCGTGTGTTGATCAGAGCTCGATCCCGGCTTTCTTCCAGTACAGCCGTATAGCGTACCGTACGACATATGTCGTTTCTGTGGCTTTGCGGTGGTCAACAGCATAGACAGAGATGGAAATAATGGCTGATTGTTCTCCGCCGATAGAACCAATGAAATCAAAGACGCGCCTCGACCGGCAGACTCATAGGCGTCGGCAACGCATTGGAACGTGTTTCGTTGAGCGATCGCATATTGTGTGTTTTTATAAGAATTGTT